CCTTCTACAGGAGGAGGCGAGAAAACCATGTGCCTCATTTAGTCTATCTTTATGATCACTTGAGCAGAGTTAAGCAAGGGTTAAAAGCCGAAAAATTCCTTATGTAGATGAGGCACGTGGTTCTCTCGCCTCCTCCTGTAGAGGGCACTTTTTTAGAGGCTTTTTTTAAACAGTTAAGCAGAGGCATCCATTGGAGGCTCTGGCAGCAGCTAACCCAGCCTGACTTCAGCAGCTCTTGTCTTTTTCTTTTTTACATTTTTACATTTTCATCATGGCAGACAAGAGCAGAGTTGAAATCCTCTGTGACACAGCTGGAAAAGGTATGTGGGTCAGAGGGAGGGGGAAGGAATTCAAAATTAATGTAATTTGTATTATTGTAAGTAATTTTAAAGTAATTTTAATTTAAAAGACCTGGTGCCGTGTCCGCCATAGAGAGTCCCTGCCACTGTGTCCCTGCCGCCATGTCCGCCATACAGCGGGATGCATCCCGCCTGTATGGCGGACACAGCGGCAGAGCTTCGGCAGGGCTTTCGGAAAGCCGCACCAGGGCTTTGGCGGGGCTTTCCGAAAGCCGCACCGAAGCCCCGGCGCTGGCAGACATAGGGCGGTAGACATATGGCAGCTTTTGCCCGCTTGCCTCACCAGCCATAAAGCTCACCGCATGTCACTGCTTGATCTTAATTGTATCACTCTGTTAATGCAATTTAGAACTGCATTGGCTTTTTTGGCTGCCACTCATATTTAACTGGTTGTCCACGAAGACTCCAAGATCCCACTCACAGTTGCTACAAACACACACACACACACACACACACACACACACAAATTGAAATGCGCAGGTGAGTTTGTGATATGTTTTAATTTAAAGAGGCTTTCCTGTTTGTAAAAGATAGTCCTTTAGTTTTCCCTCACATGGCACTTTCCTGAGGTAATGTATCACAACTTCCATAGTGCCAAACCAGAGAAACTATAAGCATAATAATTCATCATATCTAGAGGGCTATTCAAATAATGCTCAGCTGGGCTCTAGAGATTGCAGCCAGCTGGTTACATGGCTTCTGAATTTGCTCAGAGATACTGTATTTGTGTTGTTACTACATTTATACCTTTCTATCAGCATACACACATTTAATGCAGATGGTTATGTTTTGAGTTCATAATGGTGAGATAAATTCTCTTTCTGCATTGATGTGGACCTTAGCCACAGTGACTTCTTTTAACTATTTAAAACAGATACTGTACAATAATAAGATATCCTGTTTCCTTGGTTTGCAACTTACGATAGTATATTTTTAATTTTGAGACCACTGAATGGTAACAACCACATTGCAAATTATCAAGAAAGCAGTAGCTCTTGGAGCAAGCTTTATCTTCTTCCTGTGACTTCCTTTAAAGTTTTGAGTCACTGAAATATCCATGTTTCTGTCAGCATTGACTGATTTACCATAATGGCTTGTTGTGAGTAAATTTCTATGAAAGGCATATTCTTATAACTCATTCCAAAAAACTGAATTTGCATGAATGTCCAAATAAAATAGAATAGAATAGAATAACAGAGTTGGAAGGACCTTGGAGGTCTTCTAGTCCAACTTAGGCAGGAAAAGATGATTAATTTTCCTATGATTATTTTTCCCTAAGCTGTTTTCTCATTTAAAAAGAGGTTTCAAAATTAGAACTGTACAACATGAAGTGAAATCTGCTACAGTAGAGAGCTTAATATGGAGAACCATAAACTGAAAATCACCAATTTGTATTTTATAGAAGTCAAACACTCTTTCTAGGTAAAGAAACTAGAGAATATGGATTTCCATTGTTCCCTTTGTATTGTTATGCCTTATAACCCAAGTAATTGACATAATCAGCAAATTTCAGTAGCAAAGGTCACCATTTTATGGGGCCTTGTAATTCTGACCTATCTTTTAACGCTTAGTTATGAAAATTATTGAAATTACTAATATTAAATTAAAATTAATTATAACAAATTAAATTAGACTAAATTAGATTAGATTAAAATTAATAAAAATAAATATTAAATTAAACCCTTAATCCACTAGGTGAAGATTTGAGATACCAAAAAATATTTCTGTATTGCTGCTGTGGAATTAGCTTCACTGTATTTTAATCTATGATCCAGATGGACTCTAATTCAATTATATTTTGGAAAACTATCAAAAGTTGATTATTTCAAAAAGCTTTTGGAGATTAGAATCTATGTTTTACATGCCATCTGTTTAGTACTGTGTTATCCTAATTTTGAGCTCCTTTTAATGTGTATTATGATGTGTCTTGCATTCTGATTTAGATGTCTGAATGAACCACCCTGAGATGTGAAATTCTAGTTGTATTGAAGTCATGAAAAATAAATAAAACTTTACACCTCAAAATACCCACCCTCTATTTGCACAGCACAGAACTGTAACATATGTCAACATTTGATTTCACTGTAAAAGCGGTGAAATGGATTGTTTATCTACTTAGGCATGACTGACAATACATCTAATATTATGGCCCTACATTTTAAATTTTTATTTACTTATTTAGTTAATAAATTAATATAAATCTGGAATATTTTAAAATGGAATCATTTGACACATACTATCAATATTCTGTGCACATACAGCACAAGATTGGGGAGGATTCCTCCAGTTTTAGCTCAGGAGAAGAGACCTATATCTTACCTTGAATTGATTCAGGATGCTTATGTATAGTTAGTTAGAGAGAGAGAGAGAGAGAGACAGAGACAGAGACAGAGACAGAGACAGAGAGTGAGTTATATATATATTTGTTTTTAATAGTAAAAAATTTGTGTATAATGGAAAATTAGGTTTAATCTTTCACTGTAATACATGTTTTGTCAGAAATCAGTTGTACTGTGTTTAGCAAAATTTTCTGTCTAGTAAAAATGTAAGAATATATCAGTCAACTGGAAATATTATTATATACCTCATTTTAGAAATGTTACAGGATTGTGATTCAAAAAGATTAAATTGTGAATTAGAATTACAACTTCTAAGTGGACTTAAATTAGCCATTCTTTGAGTTCTCGCCTCCAATAGATGTTAATAATTCCAATTCACCTCTTATAACTGTTACTTATTTATAAAGCAATACATATAGTGCACTTTGAGCCTCTGGAATACATTAGAATCCTAGATATTATTTCTGTTGATGCTTGAGCTACTTTGGAAATGTTCTCAGATGATTGGATAAAATTATTTATCTAACCACGTACCTAGAGATGTGATGTTTCCTTATAAATTTTAATGCATGTTTCCAAAGCATCATTTCCAAGAAATAAAGAAATGATTCTGGTCAGTTGTTGGAAATGTCTTATCAATCCATTAGGTCAGTTTTGGAAAAGAATGAGTTACAATTCTGTCGATCTTGTCTGAAAATCAATTATTCTGTAGCCTGATTTTCTGCTGTAACACCAGTTTTGATCTTCTGGTGGCTGATTTTCTTTGATTTCTAGTATTAATTATGCAACACACTGTTTCTGGTGATAATTTGCTTTATGTGATCAAATTCTGCAGTTAGGAAACTCAGAACTCAGTAGAAGTTCTTGAACTCATTCAACTTTCACCTTGTTCAGAAAAGCTCAGCACACTCAGGCAGACATAAAATACTCTTGCTTATCTAATTCCTTTTGGGATCTTCTTTACACTATACTCTAACCCTCTGACGGGCGAAGTCTCCCTGCTATTCAAGGCCTCTCTTCGAACTCAGAGATGGCAAAGACTGGTTATAAAATAACAAAAGGGGTAGGGAGCAAACTCTCTTCTGCTGCTTATATTATGAATAATCCTTGACTTATGACCACAATTGACCCCAGAATTTATGTTGCTATGTGAAAAAAAATAGTGAGTTTCCCCCCATTTTATGACTTTTTGTGCCATATTTGTTGAGTGAAACACAGCAGTTGTTAAATTGGTTAAGTGAATCTGGCTTCACCATTGACTTTGCTTGTCAGAACATCACAAAATATGATCACATGACCCAGGACACTGCAACCATCATAAATATGAACCACTTGTCTGGCACCTGAATGTAAATCACCTGGCCATGGGGATGCTGCAATGGTCAAAAGTGTGAAAACTGGTCAAAAGACACTTTTTTCAGTGCCATTGTAACTTTGATTGGTCACTAAATCAACTGTTGTAAGTGGAGGACTACCTATTTTCTCAACATATGCCGATGGACTATAGCTTATATTTCCTAGCATGAGTGACTGTTAAAGTTGGTCACACTACATACTTGGCTATATGGAAAATAATAGCTGATATGTGAAACATCTTAATATCTGCTATTAAAAATGCTGACTTTATAAGTATTGCTCTTCTGGCTTGTAAAGCTGTAAAAGCAAATATCTGGTTTACTAGTTTTAGTAGTAGTTAAGTCTTCATAACTTTGTTTATATCTCTATCTCCATTTATGTCTGTCTGTCTATCCAACTGAGATAAAAAGGGATCATTGCAATTCAGCTTTTCCGATATGTTACCTTCCAGAGGTATTGGGAATGGAAAGATTTTGGAAATTATAATTCCCTAACATCTGTTAGGAAAACTTTATAAAAACTTTATAACTTTGTGCTTAAAAAACCTATTTTATGCAAAAATTGAAGGAGAATCAAATTTACACCTTACTTAGCAAAAGTTTAAAAATGTATTTTTGTTTAACTTGTATCATAGGATATGATGTACATGTTAGTAAGATATTTATTATTATTTTTCAAACAGTAAAATATCTTTGACCTATAGTTTTCTGTTCAAGTTACAAGATCTCAGGTATTTATGACATAGAACAGTGTTTCTCAACCTTGGCTACTTTAAGATGCATACACTTCAACTCCAAGAATTTCCCAGCAACCATGTTGAAGTCCACACATCTTAAAATTGCCAAGGTTGAATAAAAGAACTGAAGGTTTGTGGTTTTAGCAAAGACAATAATGCTGGCTTTATTTTGTTAAACTTTATTAAAAATATATTTTATTGAAAATACTGTTTACAAGGAAAACATTTTTCTCCCCAACCACCATATGCAGCAATCATAAAACAGATATCATATCTATTCATTCATCTGCTTCAGAGGTGCCCCATAAAAGATAACGAAATGTAATAGAAGATCCTAATTATATGTATAATTGCATTTTAAACAAAAAACAGTGTGGGAATTTGGATCCTTCAGATGCTGGTAAACTGGTTCCCTCGCCATCCTTAATCGTTGGCCATATTGTTGGTTGCTGGGTGTTTGTCAGCAGCATCTGAAGAGCTATAGATTACCATTCCTTTTTGGGATAGAGGAAAATAGAAAAAACTGATCTATACAACATTAAATATTCTGCCAATTATAAAACAATCTACATATTGTTAAATAACAGTTTAAATTTAAAACTGATGTTCCTTTCCAGAGAGCTACTGAGTTAGTAAATCGCTTTTACGGTTTTTCTTATTCTTTTTTTTTCTAAAACCAACAGTCTTTCATTTTCCAGTTCTAGAGACAAGCTGAATGGCCTTGATCCATTCTGTACGTTCTGCAGAGGTGGCTGCTTGAAGGACGTAGTGCACCTCACTTGCGGTAATAATCTCAAAGAGGTTTCCCTCCACTTCATTTTTCTTGCCTGATTTGGAGAGGACAGAGGGGGAAAAAAGTGAGCAAAGGACCAGGGAGAGGGCTTGTTTCAGCACTTCTGCCTCAGAAGAAATAATTCACTTCCATTCTTATTGAATAACACACATAAATGAAACTCCTTGCACTTCCATTTAATCCACATACTAAATTTCTACCTTTATAAACCTCTCCTTCTGCTTATCTATGTGGAACCAAGTGGTCCAATTTTCTTTTACGTTCTAAAATTGAGCTGCAAATTAAACCCTGCCACCTCCCATAATTGGATTCCATCCCAAAGATATATGTGTGTGTTTATCAGCACAAATACCACACACACACATACACACACAAACATATATATATATATATATATATATATATATATATATATATATATATTATATTCATATTTTGGGACATGGTGACTCAGTGGCTATAACACTGAGCTTGTCAATCAGAAAGGTCGGCAGTTTGGTGGTTCGAATCCCTAGCGCTGCATAACGGAGTGAGCTCCCGTTACTCGTCCCAGCTTCTGCCAACCTAGCAATTTGAAAGCATGTAAAAATGCTAGTAGAAAAATAGGGACCATCTTTGGTGGGAAGGTAACAGCGTTCCGTGCACCTTCAGCATTTAGTCATGTCAGCCAAATGACCACGGAGACATCTTTGTACAGCACTGGCTCTTCGGCTTTGAACCAGTGATGAGCTCCACTCCCTAGAGTTGAGAACAACTAGCACATATGTGCGAGAGGAACCTTTATCTTTACCCTTATTTATTAATAGTTAATGCATAAATGAACTAATGTATAAATGAATCAGGCTTTCCTTGGAAGTAACATTTTCCCAGATATTGGGAGTGAAAGGACAATGTTATTAGGTATGCTATAATTTTCAGAATGCTAATCTGAAAATCAGACAAGAGAGGCTGTGTACAAAATCTCATGGGAACCCCCCTCACTTTTGACAAATCTCTCCAAAATTGCACTTCTGCTCTTAATTTAAATACTCCTGCTTAATGATTACCCTCTGATGTGTCTTCAATCGCCGTCACTACACAGCCCCTCAAGTGAATGGCTCCAAGTGGATCTTCTCCCTGAAAGAAATTTCATTCAATATTTATGCAGACTCAAATTCCAGGAAAAAAATGGTGATCTGATGACAGCTCTGCTTTTAAAGGTAGAATGCAGAAGTGGCATGTAGACCAGCTCTTCGTAATTTCTCTCTGGATAAGGAGAAAATTTAAGATTGACCATAGATGCTCCATACAGTTGCTCCTCATTAGGAGACTGCAAGACAGCAGTTTTACAGTGGATTTAGAGCTCTGGGACATGAGAGAATAGCCATCTTGCTTAAACCATGGTTGATACCTTCAAAAGGAAACTGAATTTCATAATCTCTTTTCTAATTACTTTGGAAGTTGCTTATTAACCGCTTTACAGCTACTAGGAATCTTTGGATCAATAGGCTTTACAGCACCAGGTGAGTTTCCTTCAATCCTTAGTGAGAGAAGTTTTAAATAAAACTTTAAGCGCTTAATTTGTTTTCTTTTGGAGTAACCAGCAAAAGTGTGATTAGAACTTTGATTTTGGAAGGTTACAAATAAACTAAGAGTCCAGATGGATTTGAAATAAGATTTTGGAATTAATCATAAAAGTCCTTCCCACAGGAAAATACTTTTGTTTTAAATTCTCTTTATTTTTTTTAAAGATGTGACTTTGAAGGTTGAGCACTAGAGAAAACCAGGAGGAACTAAGAATTGCAATTAAAGGAGAAGTACACTTAAATTTGACTTATTAGTGCAAACTAAAGAAAAATATTTTTACATTAGATGTACTGAAGGATATTTTTAAACACTACAGTCTAGACCTAGACATTCATTTTAAGAGTGTCTGCCTCTATAGACTATATTTTAAAGAAATTACCAAAGAGGAACAAGTCTTATCTGATAAAACTCATTTGAAAGTGGATGTAAAAATGGCAGGCTAAAAGAATGACACGGAAAAAGATATCACACATAAAAGAGAAAGCAGTTGATGCCTTAATAATTGAATAATTAATAATTGAAAGGGATGTACAAATAAACCAGGAGATCATTTTCTTCTACTGGATTTACAAAAAGGTTTGTATTTTGGGAGAATGGATAAAAAAAATGAAAAGAAATCCAAGTTCGAGGACATTATTTGGAGTAGAGATTAAAGGTACGTAAGTATGTATGAGTAGTTTTGCTGATATCTCCAGCAAAGACAGTCTTTATAAAAATTGTTAAGGAAAGATATGAAGAATAATCTGTAGAGAATGGGACTGCACACACTGTGCACACAAGCCCTAAGATTTATTTCCTTAGACATTGTCTATCCCTTCCCCGACCTCATCAAGATATCAGAAGGGATCCTTTTAAGAAGGAAGGAAGGAAGGAAGGACTCACGTGTCTTAGTCAGATCTGTGGTTTGGAAGAAACAGCATCATATTAATTTAAAGATCTTCTTCATGAACTGTCTGACCTGGGGAACTCCCTTCTGAGGAACTATTTCATAACAAATTGCTCTAAGGCACAGTTTCCCAATTATTACAAATAATTTTGTGGCTTATTGGATTTCCAACACCTAAATGAGAATCTATTTTCTTTCAGTAAATTATTTTGTTGACCTGACTTAGTAACAAGAAGAAAAAAGGCTGAAGAGGAGTACATAAGACAAGAGTTGTTCAAACTCCCTTTCAGACGCCTTTGCTCAACACAAGGAAGTCAGAGAGAAATGGAGATGGGACCCAAAGGTACAAGAGGCACCGTCCCATTATCTCTGCAGTTTTGTTTTCACATGTGGATAAAGAATACCTTTGGTTGTCCAAGTGTTTGAAGGATAACAAAACCTATTCATGTACAGAGACAATGGAGCAGTCTTTTCCACACAAGTGACATCCATATGTGTTGGACTCCAAAAACTAGAACCCTCAACTACCATTGATTCTGGGTGTTGAAGTTCAGTACTACTAGAGACAAATGTGCAACAACTATACAAATCGACAAGGGTTATCTACTCAGGAAAGTGGCATCATTAAGTGATGCAAATATCACTACATAATTTAATGCTGATAAAATGTATTTGAGCTTTGTTATGAAGAAGGAAAGGTTAGTAAATTATGGGTGCTAATAGTAAATTAGTAGTAAACATACTATTCCTATAGTGTTCCGTAGGTTATTTCAACACCACATAGCATTTCAACAAAATTGAGTGATGTAAACACTTACTGCCGCAGGATCATAGTAATGCATGTAGGCAGGGTCCTCTCTCAAAATAAATTTCCGCACTTTCCAGTTTTTCCTTCTGTGACCCTAAACAAATATTTAAAAAGCATAATTTTTAATTTTCCACTCTGCAGGCATAAATGTCAAACTATAACCAAGCCTTGTTCTCACAATGGAACAAGACACTTTAAATTATCCTTGTGATAAAATCAATAGCAAAGATTCCAATGATTTTATTGGACTTTACTCTGATGATCAAATTGGTTATTTTGTTTATATTTGAGGGGGGCTTCAATTAAATCACTAGAGTTATTTCATTTGATATAGACCAGGCTAAATAAGTTGTATCCTTAAGATTACAAGTGATTGCTGAATTCCCTTTCTGTAGGTCTTAGAGCCCCCTTGCTTTGGATTACCACCATTTGGCTGGATTTGATGATTCCATAATCCCATAATTTTGGGGCGGGGTGGAGTGACAGTCCCAGCTGTAGTGCAAGCACCAAAAAGTTTTTCCATGTTTAGTTTAAACTCAGCCACCTATATGTATTTATCATATAGTTCCATGCAATATGAATATCACATAAATTATATCATGTACATACAACCTTTCAGTACATGGGTTTTCTTCCCAACTTATAGTCAGGCTTGCTTTTTATTAATAAATATGCCTCTTCCCCCCCTTTTTGTGTATCTTTTTTCTCTTTTCTTAAGATTAGTAAAAAGCTTGTTGAAAAAGTAAAGAAAATTTGTCAAAAAGCAAAATGGACAGCATGAAAGGCAATGCAGTAGACGTTTACATCTGGTGATTTGTGATTTTGTAATGAAATAGATATAGCATGTTTCACATTTAATTTGTTAAACATTTTTCCAGTGGTGGGTTTCAAATTTTTTTAGAACCTCTTCTGTAGGTGTGGCCTGCTTTGTGGGAGTGGCTTGCTGGTCATGTGACTGGATGGGAGTATCTTGCCAGCCATGTGACCGAGTGGGAGTGGCTCGGCAGTCATGTGACTGGGTTCGCGTGGCCAATTTGTAAAATGTGGTGAAACTCACTTAACAATACTCTTGCTTAGCAACCAAAATGTTGGCTCAGGAACTCTGGCATTGAAGCGCACAAGTCTTAAAGCTTCAAGTTACAAGACCCATGCACCCCTAACCCTTTAGAAAAAAACCCCAGGGATGTTCAAACTTGACAGCTTTAAGACTTGTGGACTTCAATTCCCAGAATTCCTCCTCTCGCTCTTCATCTTGATGATGTGCGGACGGGCGGGGGGAGGGAGCTAGAACCGGTTCTAAACGGCACTGTAGATTTATGGAACCTCTTCTATAGAACTGGCAGGAACTCACCCATGCATTTTTCTCTCAGTAAGATTTACCAGCCTATTATATCTGGGTAGCAGAAAATAAGAGTAAAACTTTATGTCTGAAACTCATTTAAAAACTGATCATCAGTTCTGCCATAGGTCTTGATCATTTCCACAAACCGTTGCGACTTTTTAATTTTCTGCCAGGGCAGCATGAATCAAGTCAGAAACTCAATGAGTCACATGCTTTTAAGTCTTGGAGTGTTCTTTTATGTGAAGTCCTATTGAATTCTATTAAAGCCAGATCCCTCTGTCTGGAACCATTGAGACACCAGATGAGTGTTACATTTATTCTGTACTACTAAAATGACTCTTTCGGCTGTCTGTTATACTTCAGCTTTTTTTCCATAACTGTTGCAAAAACAGATGACCTTTTTTTTAACATTTACTCATATACCAGTAACAATCAGCTCAGAGAACTGGCATGGGTATACGGTAAATCTAGACTTCTCAATTCCAGTCTTGCCTTCTGGTGTATATTTCTTGCTTCAAAAGCAGGTGAGCTCTGTTTTTCCCTTTTCAAAAAAGCTCTCCACCTCTTATTTTGTTCTGTGGGTTGAAACAAGTTAGGGGTTGGTGAGTGGGGTTCTAGCTCAGAAAATTTGCAGAGTGGCTATATCCCCACTAGCAACTGATCGCTGCTTAGCAATGTGACAGTGTGTGATGCTGCTGATGCAGAATATAGCCAGGAAAATTCAGAGAATGTTCGGTACTTTGGTGATATTTTTAGACTGGGTGATTTCATCCATATGTATTATATAAGTTTATATTTTATCTGACAAAAAACCAAGATATACACCAACCTGTTTCAGCAGACAACCCTGCTTAACCACCAGGCCTCTGAATTCTTCCTTGAAGACTGTGTCATCATCACTGGAGTTGCCCTCACAGAAGAAACCACTGTCAGCCTATTTTAAGACATTGAAGAAGCCAAGTTGATAAATGTCTCCTAGAACAGTTCAGGCTATTAAATAATACTGAACATTTTTTAAAAAAAAACTGTTCGTTGTATAGAATGGCGAAGCCATTGGCTTATCTACCCATTATTCCAATAAGGACATTTTTTATGCATCTACTTTGTCTTTAAAACAGAGGACAAACAGACAAAAAATTATTTTTGAAGTTTTCCAAAGCTGCTTTCCCTTCTTGACAAATATATTACTATCTTTTATGCAATAAATAGATTTTGGCAAACTTTGCCTTGCCTTACGCAACTTATCTGTAACTCACAAATAAAATCAATTAATCAATCAAGCAGCTGAGGCTCATAATACAAGAAGGGCTCAGTTAAAACACACTGTAAAGTTTGTTGCCTGCGTCTTAATTCACAGAATTATACAACTGAATGGAAAAGTGAAAGTACATGATAAAAAGAAGCTATTCAGCTTGGTGATGATAAGGACTGACATCAATATTGTTCAATCAATCAAATATGGTCTCTTGAAACTCTATTAATATAATCATCAATATCATGATTATGGCCAAGTAGAAAATGCAGCAGCCAAAATAGAAGAATTAAATCAATCTCTTAAAAGTCCTTTCAGTAAAAGATTATCTTTTTCTGAGTAATATGTGGCCACTCTATCTTAGCAAACTTACATGTTGTGTAGAGATTTGCCAATCAGGGTCCTAAATAAAAAAAATTTACACTGCATTTGCACGAACAATAGAGTGAAACTCAATGCTAGGTAAATCTTCCAATTTTTTGAATTAACTTCCATCAATCTAGTCGCTATGGTTTGTGGCATTATGTAGATTATGGTCACCATGGTTGATGTGGTATCAGATAGTTGACTATGTTCTAGCTAGTAAAGGACAAGTTGTGTGAGTCCAGTTTTAGGCCAAACTAGATGTGCACATGCTAAAGATATTTATTGGTCTGACTATAAAACAGCATTAGATGACTCCAGATGCTTTTCTTATTTCTTGTTTGATAGGTATAATCCAGAAATTCTCTTTGATTTAATAAAGAAGACAACATCTTGACACTTACAAAATAGTAATAAGCATCCTCCATATCCAAGAAAGGGGTTTCTGATAGGCCTTCAAGTGCATTTTTCGATGTATCACCAGCAGCCTGAAAGTAGCCTTCATTCAATAGGGCAGATGCCAGCACTATACCCTCTTGGCGATTTCGTAATGAATTGTTTGACAGCAACCAATCAATCACAGAACTACCTGATGACAAGGAGAAGAACAAAGGATGGTCACCAAAGATACATTAAAAAGCAGTAGATATGGTAAGGATTAAGAAAAGAGAAATGCAAATCCCCTGATGATGATTATCTCTGAATCTTAGAAATAATCTTGGAATACATTACACCTGTATTTTTTAAATATATGCTTTAATTTACCTATTTTGTTGTTGTTTAAGCAATTCTTAACAACTTCCTACCTGTAAAACAATGATTGAAAATTTTCTTGTCTTTTTCCAGCTTCATTTCCCGTATCCCCTTGTTGGGGTCCTTCATAGAGAGATACAAAGCACTGTGCCGAAAACAAAAGAGGTGTATTATAACCACACTGAGATTTGTGTAAAACAGCCAGAAATAAACAAATGTTTTAAAACAAAGCAACATTGTTGATTTTTATAAAACAATGGCTTTCCACAAAATAAGGTTTTTAAGATTCCCATGAAGGCATCTAAAGAATGTGGCTATTTATTGTGCTAATGGGCTGCCGATTTGCCCCAGGTTTCTCAATCCTGTGGACAGCTTAAATTCTTATGCCTGAAATAGCAGTTAGCAATAGCAGTTAGACTTATATACCGCTTCATAGGGCTTTCAGCCCTCTCTAAGCGGTTTACAGAGTCAGCATATCGCCCCCACAGTCTGGGTCCTCATTTCACCCACCTCGGAAGGATGGAAGGCTGAGTCAACCTTGAGCCGATGAGATTTGAATTGCTGAACTGCAGATAGCAGTCAGCTGAAGTGGCCTGCAGTACTGCACCCTAACCACTGCGCCACCTCGGCTCGTGAAAGAACACGTAGAAATAGATCAACACTTCCAAACAATGGCTTTCTCTAGATCTGTGCTCCCCAGCTACCATAACATCCACCTTATTAAAATTGTTGAAGTTGGCAAACACTGCTCTACATATAAACTACATCCATAATCTATATTGAAACATGATTTGAATGTATTAAGAAATTAATATTCTTCCAGTTATTAATATTAGGCACTATCTCAAGCAAATCTCCTTGTGCCAAGTTTTCCAAACATTTCTTTAAACCTAGGAGAGAAATGTGAAGTAACTCAACTTTCAATTTAGGAAGCAACAGACAGCTGGAGATGCTGGTCTGTGATGAGAGAGATGTAATAAGAAAAAAAGGTAGCTATTTCACCTGACTGAAGTTAGCTCAGAACTGCTGCCAAAATAAGTCTTTAAGCTCCTTGAGAACAAGGATAGGGGGAAATACCCCTTTTTTCTGAGATCAGAAAATATATAAGGATGCTTTAGTTCCAGCTTGTTAATATAGAAAAAATAGGAATTTGGATGACAAAGTTTCAACACAGAATAATTCAAGCAGATGCTCCTATAGCTGTCCCCAGTCTCAATTGTGGCAGGTCTGAAAATATGGCTTCTAAGTCTGACAGCTGCCTCATAAAAATAAAGCTCTTGAAATAAAAGTATTTTCCCACATCCCGCTTATATAAGCAATGTTTAGCTTTGGAACACACCTCAGATTGATGGTTTCAGGAAGCCTGATAGATTTCTTTGTTGATTTCCTGGAAAACCTTTGCCCTCCCAAAATGCATTTGATGGCCTTCTTGATGTCTTTCACCCAAGCATCTCTCTCCTCAAGATGAGAAGCTTGTAAGATGTGATCCTGTTGTTTGGCTGTTGTGAGTTTAAAGACAAACTGGAATAGGAACACATTTTATTGTTAGCCCATATAAATAGGGGTTTTTTTTGTAAGCATCTTAGGTTAGCAAGCAGAGTAGAATAGATAGTTTATTCCCCAGCTAAATGTCTAAACAGGCAATAACATGAAAACTGGGAAAAACAATCCTATTTATTGTCAATATAAGAACTCAGTATTGAGAGATGAGTGCCTAGTTCAGTGTTTCTCAACCTTGGCAACTTGAAGTCCTGTGGACTTCAAGTTGTCAAGGTTGAGAAACACTGGCCTAGTTTCATTAGCTCAGAGTTAGAAAGATAAATGGCGATCGAAAAAAGGAAGAGTGCTCAGTTCAGAATATTTTGCCATCCTTCAATGGGCCACTGAAATGGACCAATTCCACAACCCTGTAGATATGCTCCAATCTCTGCTGAAATAGGGAAAAACACATTTCCCCTCAGTTGTAATGAATATGTTGTCTTTTATCCATTTGCCATTGTATATACCACCACCAGTCTGAGTTATGAATACTACCATACTTCAAAGCTGCAACTCTCCTCAGATGAGCCTTAGATTTGACCAGGGGTGAAATGCTCTGAAATCTGCTACCGGTTCACTTCATGTGTGCATGCACACTTTGTGCGCATGAGTGCCAAACACACACATGTGCACTGCAGGTGTTAAGAAGCCTTCTCTGAGTCTGCAAAGATAAGTAGAACAGCGGGGGGGGGAACAGCTGTGCTGCGCGATTTACATTCACTAGAAAGCAGGCTTTCCTGCTTTCTAGTGAATATAAATCATGCAGCACAGTTGATTGTTACACAGCTGATTATCAGCTGATCATCAGAACTTTTTAAAACTTTTTTTAGCATTTTTTACTACCTATTTGCCTGAACCAGTAATAAAAAAATGCTTTAAAAAGTAAAAAAAAAAGTTCTGACAATCAGCTGTGCCATGCAATTTCTAGCAAATATAAATTGCGTGGCTCAGCTGGTTGTCGCACAGCTGACTACCAGTTCGTCCGAACCGGTAGCATATTTTTTACTAACGGTTCGAGTGAACCGGTAGCATTTCACCTCTGGATTTGACTAAGAAACAACAGGAACCATGAGTGTTATTCAGTTTATTAACTTCTACATATATAGTGCACCAAAATACTTTCCCCTTTCTATTTTATCATATAACTTTTAAATAAATATCTCCCTATTATTTGGACAGGAGGTTTCAGTGAATTCTGATTGACTCTGAACAGAGATTTAGTTCATTGTGTATCAATTCATACAAACGTATCTACCTTGAAGTGCCTAAAGGAACAGAGGTAGAAAATAAATAATATATCCACAATTTAAAGATCTCAATGACTTTAAAATTCTGAAGACATATGGGTGGAAGCAGCACAGTTTAGTGTTTAAATCCCATTCCCACTGGCCTGCCACACAAGGAGAATGGGGAAGGAAAGACTCCTTTTTCTGAAAATATTGCACAATCCAGCCTAAAGTGCTCAACTGAAAAGAGAGGAAATACTGCTATACTAAGCATTATGTGCCAGAGTAAGACTGTCGTTCGAAATTGTTAGTAACAAAACCACAGTACTGTAAACACTATCTTCACAGATGACTTGAGGGGGAAAAAAGGAAATGTGTACATGGGTTGCACATGAATCCATTACTACAACCGAACCAAAGGAAATTGTCTCTAGGATCAGTAGCTTTTCCATTAACTTTGCTAATTTTTTATATTGTTCAGTTATAGGAACCAGCAAAACACCTATGCTGGATCCAACCAAAAGACTATTTTGTTCGAAACTCACTGTGGCCAATCCAGTTTCTATTTGTGATTAGTTATTTGGCTCTTTTGGCAGTACATAAAAAACATTATTTGTGATTAATGGTGATGATGTTACCTGTGTTGTCAAGGTTTTATTCCTATCAACACTTCTTGCTGGGGGCCACAAATATGATGTGATGGGTCATGTATGCTGGATGTCAAAGGCTAGGGCACAGGCTATTGGACACATACACTTCCATCACTTCTCTTACAGCCACTTGAATCTCAGATTACATCCTAAGGGCAAAGGTTTGGGGCTTTGGCAGAGGTGGGTTGCTCCCAGTTTGAACCGGTTTGGCCGAACTGGTAGTAGCGGTGGTGGGAGGCTCCGCCCACCCATCTGGATGCTTCTGTGCATGCGCAGAAGCGTCATGCACAAGAGCGAACTGGTAGTAAAACCAGTATAAATTCACCACTGGGCTTTGGGGTTGGATGGGGTGAGGTAATTAGGAGCAAAATAAATGATCATAAGATTTCACAAGGCTTAAGAGGTTGATTCTGTCTTTTAGACCATCCCAACTTCCAAATGCACCATATCTTGGAATGAACCCTTCAGAATAATTTCATCCCATTCTACTTGGTGATGTCATAATATCATTTGGCCCAGGAAGGCTACATATTTACATACACAAACAGACAGACAATTTACAAGGCAATTTACATACTGTCCTTAAATACACACCCACCCATTTCCCTTGAATGCAAAGAGTGTTCCCTATTCTTGGGATAGGCCTTACTTCAGCATGCTTCAAAAAACATAAATACTCACTGCTCTTTTAGCAAAATCCTGGCAGGGACTGGTCAGTTTGCTGCCCTTGAGGGGAATCATTCCTTTGGGATTGTTATCAGTCTTCTTCTTAAATAATTCGATTCCATCTTCTGACAGCACTACCCACATAGGCTTCCAGGTATTAAACATACTGCCCTGTATCAATCAATTAAGAGAGTATTATCTACACAGCCAAGGATTGGCATAAACGAAAGTTTTTGTTCCTTTTAAAAGAAAGGTTATCAGAATGAATATTCACATTCTAGGAAGCAGTTGATATACACAGTTTGCTTTGCAGCCATTTTCCCACTGAATGTCAGCAAGTGATTTTAGAATGCTGAGTAGCTACAAATGGGATTGGCTTGTAGTCACAATAGGGAGACTTGAAAAAATGTCATTTAATGGGCCATATCATGTCTTCTCTTAGGCACTCCACCAATTTACATTCTTCTTTCTGTCACCTTTTTCCTTCTGCATTCTTTGAACACATTCCAATGTCATCCCCCCGCAGTCCCCCCACATAATCAGACAACAGTACTTCTGTACGCTTCTGAAGTTTCAGTATTTTGAATTGAAAATAAGTGTAACATAACATGTGATGTGGTGAGAGATCTTGACTGCAAGACCCATAGGTATGGTCATATAACACCACTAAACCTGCCAATAGTTGGCCATTCTTTAACTTCCCCAACCTTGATTCTTTGAAATGTATTAAAGCTATAACTCTTAGAATATCACAGCCAATACATCCAAGGGGCACAGGATTGAGCTTCAAAATCTGTAGTTAGTGGTGGGGAGTGCTTCAAATAAATACTGGCCATTGGATTTGGTTGACAATGTCAATTGTTTTAAACAAAGGCTTTTTATTTGGTGTTGTTGGGATATTGTTTCTGGTTTTTATGCTTACCAAAGGGGGAAAAATGAAATTTAGAATCTAGTTTGAAGATTTAATAATTGTGTACTTACAGATCTGGCTTGCACTAATTATAAGTTATATTAAAAGTTAAGGATGTAAGTTAGTCTTTTACTGTTTTAGAAAGAATGGGAAGTCAACACTTTCCTCTTTTCTCCTTTTTAAAAAAAAAACCTGCATCCCCCCCTTTTTTCTTAATCCTTATTTTCATTATATTTTATATTGTAATAAACTTCAATAAAGCACATGATTTTAAAAAAGAAGAAGCTTGTGCCCTGGGTAACTATTGCTACATGGACACAGCCATGATTTATTTAGCAATGGAACAGGAAGGATTTGCCATTATGTCCTCTGAAACTTTTTTTAAAAAAGAGTTTTGATAGTCCTTGATCATCTTTGTGAGGAAGTGAAGTTGGGATTGCTGCCTGCAGACACCCTACCCACACACTTCCCTCAGGCACTGAGACATGCACTCATAAATTTACTCACAGGCCTGCTAGCTGATGTTGCAGCCACCTGTGGTAATTGAGCCACACCCTGGTGTTTTGACGGATTTGACAGCCAGAGGCAATTTCACCCCACCCAGTCTTACAAAAACAAATGCTAAAAGAGTGAGAAAAAGATGTGCATAACAAGAAAAGTAAAAGCAAATGGCCTACAGATGAAGAAGCAAAGGCGACATTTGCTCTGCAGGTTGGTGTCCCTAAACACGATACTGCCATTCAATTGGGAGTAGGGAGAGTCAATTTATTGGCAATGCCTGTGACTGGTTTCCTGGTGCCGAAAAGCCGGAGATCCCACCACTTTTTGGGGAATGTTTATGATGTATGGGGTGTTTTACTTTAATGTCTAACGAAAGATAGCCATGGGAATGTATGTTTATTCGGCTCTCAGGACAGTTGATAAAGGAAACATCTTCACATTTGTGTATTGGTTAGAATTTGCATGGGAGAGGTGACTACTGCTTTAATTCTACCTGCATTGCCTAAGGGGATTCTGATGTTGCTTTGCCTCTAATGGTTTCCATTCTTCTTAATTAAAGGTTCCTTTTGAAATAATCTGTTTCAAGAGTCTTCACTTTCTTAAGTTAGGAGAGGAGCCCTTACATAAAGCAACATCTGAGAGAGGGAGAGGAGAGACATTTGCTCTACTGAAGGGACCCTGCAAACCATGTCTGAGCACAACAGCAAACAAGGGGAAGGTGACTGCTGGAGGGAGACGTCAACCCCCCCCCCCAACCAGAGACCTGCTCCATGTACCCTGTTGGAAAGGATGAGGTGAGCCTGGAGGACCCCAAAAAGCCCTGCTGGTCAATTGGCATTGGGACGAAAGGCGGCTGGGATGGGAGAACCAGGGGAGTCACTCTTACCCAATGTAGCTGAAAACCAGGGTGGAAATTGGAGTTAGAAGACTCCTCTGACCAGGAAGAGCTAAATGAAGCTTCGCTGAGAGAGGATTGTCTGAAGAGACATGTAACCCAGTTGGTGATGGAGATTTTGGAAAAACTCAACATCCGGGGGGAGCCAGAACGGCAACCAAGAGGCATTGGAAGGGCGGCAACCACGGACGATGCCAGGGGAGCTAACCCCCCCTCTGGGCCCTGCTGATCAAGCAGATGGCACAACAGCAACAGCTAGGAACCCAGCAAACCATCTCCCCCATTGGCGCATGGATTGGGGGCCGCTCCCAACCAACCCTGAATCCAGCAATTAGAAAGAAAAACTCCTCTTTGGGTGAAGTTTGATGGGAACCTGAAAAAATTGGGATTCTTTGCGGCATACATGCTCATCTACATGCAAGAATACGGGCGTGATTTTCAAACCCAAGGCTCCCAAGTACGAGTGGTTACCCTAGCCCTGGAAGGAGCCGCTGCCAGATGGATGGTGACACTAGATGATGCCGATGCACCAGAACTGCGGGACTTCGACTGTTTCATGATGGCCTTGTGATGAAGTTTTGAAGACCCCCCCTCTCAGACTGCAAAGCACGCGACCACATTAAAGTTGTGAAGCATGGATGCCGGCCAGTGGTAGAGTATACCGAAGAATTCCAAGACCTGGCATGTTGTGTGAAGTGGCCAGAAGATATCCTGGTAAGCTGGTTCAAGGATGGGCTGAGTGATGACCTCTACAACGCCTGTGTGGCCCGAGGGGCACCGAATCACCTACATGAGTAGTATCTCACTGCTGAAGAGGCAGAGATCGACATGGCCAGGAACCAGTACCAAGCGAGGTGAATTTGGAAGAAATCCCCACCCCAATAGAAGCAAGAGCCTTTCAACCTGCAAACAGCATCTTCTCTGAAACCCTCAGCCTGTTTCAAGTGTGGAAAAGACGGGCACCGAGCTGCAGAATGCAGTTCTCAAGCACCAGCTAGGAAAGCAGAGCGCCCATTGGGGGGAACTATGAAACCTGGCCAATATGGGAAAGAAATGGCCTTGAGGAGCAGGGAGATCGTAGAATCTCCACCCCCTCTCCTCTTTGAGGATGAAACCCCAGCTTTGCAGCAGGAGGAACCATACTCATCTGGAAGAGATCCAGAGGATGAACCCCTGGTAAGCAAATGAATTAAACTGATTAGCATCTCCATAAGATTGTTTATCCCCAACTGGGAGAGAATAAAAATCTCTGCTTTAGTGGACTCAGGGTGCACCCACTGTTTGATCAGACCAACCCTGGTAAGGAAGTTGAGGATTAATGTAAGAAAGCTGAAGAGCCCCATAGCTTTTTGCCAACTAGATGGGTCAATAGCAGGGGGGAGGCAGCTTCATTTGCCACTGAGCCTCTACAGATTGGCATCAGAAGCCACAAAGAAATACTTATATTTATAGTGGCACCAGGCATGGAATGGCCACTAGTTTTGGGTCTTGCATGGCTGAAAAAACAGAACCCCAAAATTAATTGGAAGAAAGGCACCATAAGAGTGCAGATGCACGTGACTTTTGCTGAGAATCCACAACAGGAAACTGAGGGGGCAGAGCACCAAGAAACAGCAATGCCCTCTTACAACCCAGGGCATACCCAAAGAATACAAGGACTTGGCTGAGGTTTTCAGCGAAAAAGCCTCTGACGAGCTCCCCACCCTGCCGCTCCACTGACTGCAATAGAAATTCTACCTGGGGCCAAACTCCCTAAACCCAAGATGTATAGCATGTCTCTGAGGGAACTGGAAGAACTGAGGACATTCATTGAGAAAAACCTAGCAAGGGGTTTCATTGAACCAGCCCGGACAAAAGTTGCAGCTCCAGTGTTATTTAGAGAGAAAAAATGCTCTAAACATCTATGTGTCAATTTTCGAAATTTGAATTCAGTCAGTGTGGAGAATATGTATCCTCTCCCACTCATGAAGGATATGCTAGCACACCTCGCAAAGGGGAGAATTTTTTCAAAGCTGGATTTAAGCGAGGTTTACTACCGTATCAGAAGTAAGGAGGAAGATGAATGGAAAATGGCATTTAACACCCCTCTTGGATGCTATCAATTCAAAGTGCTACCATTTGGGCTACAAGGGGCCCCTGCAGTATTTATGCAATTAATAAACGAAGTGTTGCAGGGGCATTTATAAAAGGGCTGCATAGTTTATATAGATGACATTTTGTTATATTTTGAGACAAAGGCAGAACATGTAAAACTAGTCAGGGTGGTTCTGAACAAACTTTGCTCTGCCAAACTTTATGCTAAACTCTCCAAATGCGAATTCCACCAAGAAAAAATTGATTACTTAGGATACCGTATTTCACACCAGGGCATAGAAATGGATCTGGGATCCACCCAGAACATGTAAACAGTTACAAAACTTCCTGGGATTCGCCAACTTTTACAGCCAGTTTATCCCCGCTTTCGCCCAAATTGCTCTCCCCATCACCAAGCTCTTAAAAATGAAGGGAGAGGGTAACACAAAACCCAAGCAGCCTTTGAACTGGACAATGGAATGCCAAGCTGCATTTGAAAAACTTAAACGGCTGTTTTCAGCAGAGCCAATTCTAAAGCACTTGAACACAGAGAAACCATTTGTCATACAAGCAGATGCTAGCGATGTGGCAAAAGGAGGGGTCCTGCTTCAGAAAAATGAGCAAGACCAATTACAACTGTGTGCTTACACATCCCAAAAATTGAATGAATCTGAGC